CTAATTTTTAATTTTTTACGTATTAATATTTTTTAGTAAAATTTGTTTTTGTTGTTATATGTTGAAATTTTGGTTTATTTCTTTGAAAAGATAGTTTGTATAATATATCTAAATGAATTATTAAAACTTTGAGCATGGATTTTGTATTTTTTAACAAATGAATGAATGTTTTTAATAAAGTCTACAAGTAAATCCTTATTGAAATAAACGAATGAATAATCTATAATTTAATAAATAAATAATTCGAGGTATAACGTAAGTTAAACAAAACAAAAAACTGAAGAAACTATACACTATTTAAATGAATTAAAAAATATTTAAGTAATTGATACAATTTTTGTTATAATAAGTAATTTTTAATCTTATAAAATTTATTTCAAATTAATATTTATAATATTACTGTGATATAGTATAAATTCTTTATTTATCTTTCTTTTGAATTAATTTTTATTGCCTTATTTATTGAATCATTTATTTATTCTTTTATTTATTATTAAGGGATTTATTTTTATATTTATTTTTTGATTTTTTAATTTTTATTTTCACTTGTTTAATTTTTCTATTATTTTTTTATTTATGTATTTCTACGTTTATTTCTTCATTTATTTCATGTGTTCATCTAAATCAACAAATATACATATAAACAGATACTTTCAAGCAAAAAAATATATTTCTAATTCAAAGAATGTTTGTCTGAAGGAATAAATTAAGAAATGAAATGAAAGAATAAATTAACAAATAAATAAATTGGTGCACGAAATGAAAAAGTCATAAGAATCTTTACAAACTACTGAGTAGATAATTCAATAAATATATAAATGAATAGGTAAATGAATTAGTAAATAAATGATGTAGAAGTTAAATAAATTATTAATTTATGCATATATGAATGAATAAAATAATCTCAAAAAATCTATAAGAAAGTCAAAAAATAAATCACTAAATAAATAAAGGAATGAACATCATTCATATAAATAAATTCTAAAAATTGTATAAATAATTTGATTCATACATAAATAAAATTAACAAAACTAAGATATCCATGAATTAATCACTAGCAAATGAATGAATAAATATATATAACTAAATCAATAATGTAATAAATATTTCAATTTGTTTATTTATTTATTTATATATTTTTTTTGTGTATTTGAATGACATTATTTTATCCCTACCCTTACACGTTTATTTATTCAATTATTTAATTTTTATTATTTCATTTATGTAGTATCTTGTTTATAAATTTTTTTATTTTTTTCACTTATGTTATACATTACACAATTTACATTCATATTATACATATTATTTATTTATTTAATTTCGTATTGATTTGTTCATTTATTTAAATAAGAATTTATGTATAAACTTTATTGTAACTCTTTGTTCATTTATATATTTCGTCAATTTATTTATTTATTTTGCTCGTTACTTTATTGATTTATAGTAGTTATACATAAACAATGATTTATTCAAGACTTTTATATCTTATTCATATATATATTTCATAAATTTATTTATTTATTTATTATTTTATTGATTAATTATAAACGTATATGTATATATATATATATTCGTTTATTTGCTAATGATTTATTTATAAATTTCTTAGTTTTGTTCTTTTATGTATGCATCAAATTATATTTTTTTTATTTTTTCATTTGTTTAATGATTTACCTAGATTTCTTAAAGGTCTTTTTTATATTATTTATTTTTATTTTGAATTTGTTTCTCTACTTCTTGACTTATTTATTTTCATGTATGTATATTAATCATTTTTGTCTTGTAATTCACTTGTTTCTTTAAATTCTAAACTTCTTTCTTTTATTCATTTATATACAAATTTATTTATTTCGTTATTTATGTTACTCTTTTATTATCTAGTTACTTGTATGTTAATTTTTTATTTTAATTGTAATAGAAAAGTTAAGTCTAAGTATTGATAGGTATAAACTGTAGAATGAATATAATAATTAATTCTTTTGGTTCTATGAAAACATTAGGATACTTATCTAACTGTAATATTTTTAAACACTTATATATTCAAAAAAAAAAAAAAAATAATAAAAGTATATAAATTTTATACGTATATGAAAATGAAACTGAAAGGAAGTTTTGTTTTTTTCTTTCTTTAAGTTCTATCACGTGGCTCCATCTGTATGTCATTTGTAGAAGTTATATAGAAATGAAAAAGTAAATAAATAGTAAATAAAAGTAATAAAATAAATAAATAATAGAACAATTGGTAAGCAATAGACTATAAAATAAATTGTATAATAATTTCTGGAGTATCATAAATGAAATTAATATAAACAAGAAAGGTAAATGTAGAAAGAAGAATATAATAAGTTAAGAACTGAGTTATAATGCTATCTCTTGATTTATTCTTTAATTAAATTTTTTTTATATTGATATTTTTAATATCCAAGAGATGTCACTAGCGGTCAATTCGTACTGCTCTCTATCTTTCTTCTGCTATTTACTTTCTTTATCTATGTTAGTTTGTGCATTACTTCAGAGATGGCGCTGAAGGTATGATTTTTATGCTATTGCGGATCTTTTTTCATTATCTATTCTTCTTGTCTATTCCTAGACGATTATGCATAGGATATTTATAAAGAAATAAATGAAAGTTATCAATATCACAATGATATGTTTATGTGACATTTAAAAGATAGAATTAAAAGAAGGGTTATCGTAAAATCAATAACACATCTTTATTATGTTTCTTTTTTATGAATATTTTGAAAAATTGTTAGGGTGAAGGAAAATGACGGCGAATGATGTGGCCAGTCTACAAGTTTCTTTACCTCAAATGTTAGATTTAGCATTGGGGACTCCAGAAGTAAACAGAATTAATTTCTTTTCTTTTATACTTGCAAAATAATTATTCATGAAATGAGAGATAAGAAATACTTTAACGACAGGTACGTCGTTTTACGTTCGCGTTTAGGTTGGAGCAGTAAATTTAAATATCCTTCATAATTTTCTTCATATTCTACTACATCACATAAATTTAAAATCGACTAAGGTCGAGTATCGTGGTGATGATGCTAAACGAATCAAGGTAAAAATAGTGCTCTTATTGATTCTATTTAATTGAAAGTTTATTTAAACGAGAATAAATATATTATAAAATTTTAAATAATATGTATTCATAGACATTAGTAAGTTCTCTAAAAGAAGGTCCTTCGCTTTATCTTCAAGAATACAGTATTATCGATGATAAGGATGTAGAGAAAAAACGAGTTCGTCCCGATGTAGGTGTAAGAGTGGATGTGATTGAAGGTAAGAAAATATTTTAATGATTTTATTACGTTAAAAAAGAAAAACAAAATTAATCAACATTTCAAGATAATGAATCATTTTAATTTTTGAAAAATCAAATAATAATTATATACATTTTGACGCTAAATTCTAAAATTTAGAATTTTTGAAAAATTGAAATTAATTGATTTATCTTTTAACCATATATTTGTTTAAAAATCATTATTCTTTATATTTATAAAATTTCACAATTTAATATCTATAAATTTTTAATAAAAATGTGAAATAACCAATTGCACGAAATTTCTATCTAAAAATTAAAATATTATTTTAAAAATAAGATACAAAAAACCATAAGTATATCGTATTAATGAAATCATCAAAAAAATATATAATTAACGAATAGGAATTATTAAATCATAAAATTCAATTTTGAAAGTTATTCAATTGCTAAAAACTATTTATTAAATAATAGGTTAAAATTAAACGAATTTTTTTTTAATAAACTTTGTATATTTTAAATTTGAACAGATGAAGATTTAAAGAAGACAGAGGGTGTAAGACAAAAAATTGGTCCTGGAATAGATGAAGAAGTGAAGACAATTATCTATATCGAACCGATCGTTGATGGTGCAATCCCTAGTGCTTTAGCTTTTAAACAACTCGAACAAAATGTAAGAAATTTTATCTTTATATAAACTCAAATAATCTTTCTTCATTATCTATCTTTTATTATATTATTCTTTTCTTTTCGAAATTCGAAAATGCTAAATTGCTAAAACATATTGTCATTCCCCATTTCTTTCCTCATTGACACGAAATAAATAATAACACGGGAGAAAAATATTGGGCACAAAATTGTACGATTATTTGTTATTTAATTCAAAATATTTGAACAGATCAGCAATCTTCAGCAACAGTTCCAAGCATTGGAAGAATTAGCGAAGACACCAGAACTCATCGAGCGTTTAAAAGGCAAGATCACGGATCCCTTAACCGATGTTTGGCAAATTATTAACATCACCAAAAGATTAGACGCTAGTGAACAAGGTATTGATAAGGTATAACTTGATTGTGTCAATCGTTATTTAATCTGTGAATAATTTATTCGATGTGTCTATTATCTTATTGCTTATTATTTAAGAATTTTAAATTTGAATTAATCCTAAGTAATTATTTGAAAATTTATATAATTCTCCATTATTTTATTATATTTCAAACGCTAAAAAAAATTGAATTTTATTTATCAATTAAAATAAATAAAATAATCCAGACTCTTCAAACTTTCCATTAAAAAATTAAAATTAATTTCTGAAATTCATTTAAATCAATCTAATAATAATAATAATAATAATAATAATAGTATCATATGAATCGCAGTGAAAATAAAAACTATTTAATCTTACTAATATATATAACTAGATAAAATTTTATAAAACAAAATAAAATTTCCTATCTTTCTCAATTTTAAAATCATTCTTTGAAATCTTTTCATTTTTCACAAAACTCCAAGAGAATGAAATTACACGGTATATATTCAATTTTCAGTTAACGAAAATGGTTCAAGACATGATGAAAGGTGACATAAGCCTAGCGACAAACGAGATATCAAAGTTGGAAGAAAAGATAACGCATTTAGAAAGCTCTTTAAACAATTTGGAAAATGTCGTTAAGAATTTGCAAGTACTCGCTAGCGAATATGCCGCAGAGATGGAACAAGAAATCGAAAAAGAAATCATGGAAGGTGTCCCCGAGGAGCTTCATCCACCGGCGGCTCAACGAATTTCATTAAGCGAGCTCTTGGGTGGAATAGATATAAAAGAAATGCATAAAGACGTGGCTATGTTACAAGAGGAAGTTAACCAAATAAAGAATGATTTGAAAAATTTAGGAGACGAGTTTGGCCGGACAAAAGATGGTAATGATTCATGATTAAATAATATAGCGATATAAGTGAATAATAATATAAATAAACATAAATTTAATGAATATTTAACGATAATTTTTAAAAGTGTTCTGGACAATTGATATATTTTAATTTTTAATTTTTATTGCATCAAGATTTGTAAACGATAGTTTGTTAATTTATTTTTTGTGTATAAATTGTAAAATCAAAAGATGAAAGAAACATTAATGAAATCTTTCAACAATAAGTTTTTATCTTATTTCTACTTATTTAAATTTTCATAATTTTAAAATATTTATTTTGATTATTTTATTTTAATATTTTCAACAAATATTTTCTGATTATTATAACAATTAATAATTAATCTTAATTTTTTAATCGTTGTAAATATATTTTGCTAATTTTAAAATTATTTTTCTTGACGGTTTTATGATTTCTTATTTTAACACCAGACTTTATTTCAATATCAATATTAAAAAATATTTCAATCTTACCTAATCTTATGAATTATCGAATTACAGTTTTATTCAAAATATTCCTTGGCAACTAAGTGAAGAAATATTTTTATAAAAAACATTTAATAAATATCAAGAATAAGCAATAATTATGAAACTCGCTGTAATTATTTATATATACTGATATTTACAATATTTCATAATTAATTTTCAAAAAAATATTTCTACAGAATTTACCACTAAACTAGATCAAAAGCAACAAACTATGAAAACACTAAAAGAGCAGATCGAAGAAGTAGCGCAAGAAGCTAAGAAGAAAATAGAAGTTGAAACTGAAATAAGAGCAATAGAAAAAGTAGCAGAAACACCTAGAGAAACACCTAGAGAAACACCTAGAGAAACACCTAGAGAAACACCTAGAGAAACACCTAGAGAAACGCCTAAGGAAACACCTAGTGTTGCAACGCCTACAGATTTACCAAAACTCAAAGTCAAAGAGGGAAAAGTGGTAGATTCGGAGGAAATAGAGGCCGTGAAAGTACGAATCTCAAAATTAGAAAAGGATGTGATGAATTTGCACGAGAAAGTAGAAACTACACATATGGTCGAGACTGCCAATCTCGAGAACTTGACATCCAAGGTTCAGGAAATGCAAGGTGATGTGGAGAAATTGACCCAGACTACAGATACTCTGCTCGATGAACGCGAAACTCGCGAAATGAATTTCAACGTTAGTATCTTTGATCACTTGTTATTAATCATTTTAAAAAAACCTTTTTCTTTATTTGTTGCGTTATTAATTTTCTATTTACGTTATATATGTAATATTTAACGTACATTTAATCTACGTTTATACATATATATATATATATTTTTAATTTTTATTCTACAATTTTAAATAAATTTTGTGATATTACTAGGCGTTATTAGAGCAAGTAGAACTTTTGAAAACGATTAAAGCTGATAGAGAAGATCTGGAAGATGCGCTTGCTGAGAAAGCTGATGCCCAGGCGATACACAGAAAGGTTTTTCCAAATTTTTATATTAAAGAATATAATATAAATTGAAAATAACGAATTTAAAAATATTCGAGCAAGCCGATAAGAAAAGGTGATTCTTTTTATTAAATTTATTCGTTATAGGTATCTTACGATCAATTCGATGCGGCTTGCGATGATCTTGCTCATGGTCTCGAGGACGCGATCAATAAATTAGGGCAACAGGAAATGATCTTGCAACAAGCTTTAGACGAAGTGCAAAAGGAGATCGAGGGTAAAGTCGACAAGATCGAGATATCTCCGTTGAAGGAGTTCGTGAACCAACGACTGAAGGTACTTCAAGATAAGCTGAAGAAGGTGGCGGAAGCGAGAGAGGAAATCGAAGCTGCTGGAACGAAAAAGTTGCTTAGGTAAGAAGAAAATTCTAAATTGAAAATTTATTCATGTTGCACCGACATATATTCCCAATTTTTTTTATCCGTTGCTAGGGATGTCCAATGCATATCTTGTGACAAGGATGTGGTCATGAGAATGGATGGCGTTCCCAGATTTAAAGTGGAAACATTACCATGCACCACAAGCATGAAACCATATCTGACTTACGAGTTGGATCAAGTTAGAAAGCAACACAGGAAATTGCCCCATAGCAGAAATATGATTCAATTCGAGGCAGCTATTCAAGAGGAGACAAGAAAACAGAAGAGTGCGAGAGCAGAGGCTCTTGCAAAGACTCCTAGGTACGTATATACGAGAGTAGGTATGATTGTATGATTTGGCTTGTTATAGTCTCGAATATCTAATGTTTAAGATTCAATTTTCTTTTTTAAATTAATGTAGACAGCTGTGTTAATTTCTATTATTGATAGAAAAATGAATTTCTTTTGGATAAGGAATTTTTGAATAATGGAACACAGAATATTCTTTTAGATCAATTACTCTATATTTTTTAATAATTATTTAGAACAATATTATATACTTTTCCCAATTTCTAGTTCCTTTTCTGATGGTATCAAAGTCCAATTTCAAATTAAATTTCATCTTCACTGTGTATCACAAAAAGACATACGTTTATTATATTGTTGTGAAAAAAATATATAATATAAAAAAATATATAATAGTTTTAATAACAATTCAGTTATTGGAGCATTGGAATAATGGAAGTTCTACAATAAAAGAAAAATGGATTAAAAAATAAGTGAAATTGAAACTTAATTTCATTGAAAACATTCTTAACTGTCAGAGATCATCTGTGCAATCGATACTGCGGCGGTAGTCACACGATTACGACTCCACAGCAGAGAGTAATGCGAGTGGGCCATTTCCTCACTCAATGGGGGCCGGAAATAATTCAGCTGACGGAAGGGATGATAAAAGGAACGGATGGTAGAATGTACAAAAGTCGGCGTATGCCAGAAAAAATCGATGTTTGCGGGCCTGCATATTGCGAATTGCCATCGGTAATCGTTTATTATCTATGCACTTTCCAGCTTCGAAAGATAACGGAAGATAATTGGATTTCAGGACAGACAATCGGCGATTTCTGTGAATTGCTCTATACCGCATAAACTGACTGCTGAGAAAATGGTGTCTCCTGCCACAAGTAGAACAAATAGACAATTTTATTCTATTTTCTTTCAAATTTTATATTATATCTATTATATGTGAATACGTGTATTTAAGTATAAAATATTCCGTTGCTGTATTTTTTTATTTTCTTATGTATATTTTAACAATGGAAAGGAGTAAAGAGATTCAGACAAGATTAATTTTGAATAAAAATGTAAACATTTTCGCGCGAAGAAAATTAATTTTTTGAACAAATTATAATAACACTGATATAATTTCGAAAGGGGGAAAACGAAATCCAACCATAAAGAGAAGATCTCGCGAAATGGCCAAAGAAGTGATAGAAGAGGTAAATAAATTAGAAAATTTAAAGGAATAGATTTTAGACAATAGATAATAGACACAAAGAAAAATAAGATAAAGTAGAATACTTTACATCATATACTGCAAATAGAAAGCAAAAATAATATTTATTCTAGCATGTAGCCTTGTGTGAATTTTTGGCTATGAGAATATTTAGCATATTAATCTGATATACAAAAAATATCTTGTTCTCGGAATCACGAACAATGACAAAATGTTTTGACGATTGTTTATTCATTCGTAGATATTATTTAAAAGAAACATTGATCTATCCATCCATTTCACTTCTTAATAAATGAAAATAATATTTAAATCATTTATAGCTTGCAGAAACAACTGCAACGGAGGGAGACGATCAGGAGTCTATCAGTCCAATCGACGCATCAATTTCTGATCGTATTATTCGTTACACGGACGACGAGGAGTAAGACTAAATAAAAATTTAAATAGATGTCTAAATACATTTTCCACGAAGTCATTAATTCAAAATTTTTCAATCGTCTTATCGTAATATAAAAAAAATTATGATCATCTGAATAATATAAGAAGATATAGCATAATAAAAATGTAAAAAATACAAAATATCGAAGAAAACACACGCATATCTAAATCTGTTTTTTTTAATATTTATTAATTTCTATATAAAGAAAAATATTGAAATTATCGAAATTTGAACATGGTGGAATTACCGAAATCGAAGACATCTTTTTATCTCCTCCTTTTCACATTTTTCATTCGCATATCAATTATACAATAAATATCAACAAATAATCGATAGATTAGGAAAACAAAAAACTGTTGTTTTATTAAATGTTTTATTATTAAGAGGGAATTTCGGAGTACACAAGACTATCTAGTGAAGTCGATTTGGAACATGGTCTGCTAGAAACAAAAATACCACGCATCATAATGACCACACTAGATCGCTCTTCGTTTATTGCACATCATACCGTTCGAAAACCGTTTACATAAAGAGTGTACACAGCGCTCGAATAGTGTCTTATAATAATATTGGACTCGTTCTCCATTTTCCTCCATTCGATCACACCTTCCTATGAACGACTATGCGCTAGTGTTTCTTGTAATAATAATAATAATAGAATATTTATGTATACGTATAATGATGTATACATTTGGGGCTAGATTCTACTTCATATAAATTCAAGGTACAGGAAGTATCTACAAGTTAGTATCTACCACATAATTTACGACTGCCTTGTTCTTGTTGTTTTTTTTTTCTTTTTTTTTTCTTTTTTTTTTTCTTCCCTTTTATTCATTTTGATGAACGGCGTTTTTTTTTTTAAATCTACGTCTACTAAATATACCTAACAATAAGTAATAAGATTACCATAGGTTATCTCGCTATGATCTTAAAATCAACGGTATACACGGAATCATGACAGTAAGATCATTGGCTTATAATGACACAATGCAATAAATAGAATGCCAAATAAATATACGTACAGATAGATTATACTTATTTTTTTTCCCCCTCCTCGATAATTATCCATTAAAGGATTGGGAACAATATAATGTCTTAAATATTAACATGGATATGCATTATCGATTACAGTTAATAATACTGGCAGCTTAAAGTACAACGTGTATGTATTACACTCAACCTAATCGAAAAAAGAATGGTAGAGAGTGCCAAATATACATACTTTGATAATTATTCGTTTACAATGTAACGAAATAAATACACTAGTATCACGTACACGATACACGATTTCCATCGAAATCAACAAATTGGAATGGAATATATCTAACGATAAAAAAATAATAATACCTACGAAGAATCGTATCTAAGATTATTGCAGGCATCATGGCACTCGTCTACGTATGATGTGGTCTCTAGATTATGTCTAATCGATGACAAAGTACATAAAATATTTGGTTACGTGCCACTACAGACTCAATTGACCAACAAAAGAAGGAAACTCGTTCACAACCGTATGCGAATCGAATCCTAACCTCGAAATAATTATTGTAACACCACGGACGTCTCTCGTGTCGCGTTCGTTAGAAACGCGTCGTTGCTGATTACCCAATTATAATATTGACTTAAAAATTATCGTTATCATTAATTACTATTACGCTATCGTTATTGTTAATTATTATTATTATTAATTATTATTATTATTAATTATTATTATTATTATTGTTATTATTATTATTATTATTATTATTATTATTATCGTATTATCATAATCGTACGTACGAGAATATTGCACACAGCGACCAACAGACAATGGATAAAGGGAACTAAGTAACAGATCACAGGTGAAACTAGGCTATCTCTGTAACAAATTCATATCACATGAAAAAATATGTATCGGTTGCCACCTATCGCAAAAATCTCCCAAAAATAAGAGACTGTCGGACGGATGACTCGAGTGACGAGCCATCGATGGTTCGGATTGGCTGAACTCGATCATCTTTATTCACTTTTCTTCACCGGTCAGCCCGGACGAAAAAATGTTATCATCATCATCGTCATCATCATTATCATGCTCACGTCTATTCTTCCCTCGTTTCTCGATTCGATATTATCAACGTAAAGCAACTGTCAGATCAATTTACCGGTCTAAGTCTAATCGCTTATCAATGGCGACGAATATAACTAAAAACTCCGATTAAATGATTATACGATTAGCAGTAAACTTTGGCAAACTTTGAACCGCGGTTATGGAACCACGTTACTTCGTCCATTCTTCTTACTCCTCTTCCTCTCTGCTTTTCCTCGCACGAACGAAAACGCGACTTAACTCTTTTCTTTGGCTTCCAGCTCTTCGGCAGTGGCCACGTGGCACGGCCAACTACGTGTGTATCTAATTCTAAAGCACGTATTACCTCTTCCTAGATTATCGTAATACGACAACTCTGATCCCATTGATAAGTTTCTTACAAGAAACTCGTGGCTTCGCCACGAGAACAAGGAACAACCATTTTTTGTAAAGCTCTTACGGTGCTTCCACGAACTCTTCACGCCTCTCTTTCCGTCGCACGATATATCATTCTACGTCATCCTCTAGCCTCCTCTAACTCTTTTATATTTATACACATAAACGTTATATACCTTCCTTTAAAATCATTCTGGAAAAACCAGACTTTCGTTTGTTACAATCTTCGTCTTTACATTACGATCTTATTATTAACTCCTATGCAAGCCATTTTAATAATCTGAATGAAAGTTAATCCATTTCGCGAAAATAAAGTGACATCTCTCTCTCTCTCTCTCTCTCTCTCTCTCTCTCTCTCTCTTTCTTTATCTCAGAGAGAGGTAGATTTGCGCGATGCTTTTTTAGGGGAAGACGATTCTGAATGAAACGATCCTCGAATATCCGATCCTTGAACGCTTGTTTCGAATACAAATATGCTCTCTTTCCTTTATAATAATCTTCGTTCGTTATGGAATAACGAAAGATCGAATATCGGAATAAAATATCGTCGAAGCGTCGCAATTTAATATTTTAGGACAACTAATCCATCTCGTGGCTAATAAAGCTATAGTGCGGAGTTACTTAAACGAAGACGATTGATTTCAAAGTCATCTGCTAAATCTACGAAAAATTTTTCGCTGATTACAAGCTTTGTACTGTGTTATTCCCGTGAATAATTTCATCTTTCTCGATCGATTCGATCGTTGTCCTTTTCATTTTCGCTCTCGATCCATCTCGGAAGCTCGAAAAAATTAATCGTCTTACGTACGTAAACGTAAAGTAACGTACTACTCTCTCTCTCTCTCTCTCTCTCTCTCTCTCTCTCTCTCTCTCTCTCTCTCTCTCAGAGAGAGGTAGATTTGCGCGATGCTTTTTTAGGGGAAGACGATTCTGAATGAAACGATCCTCGAATATCCGATCCTTGAACGCTTGTTTCGAATACAAATATGCTCTCTTTCCTTTATAATAATCTTCGTTCGTTATGGAATAACGAAAGATCGAATATCGGAATAAAATATCGTCGAAGCGTCGCAATTTAATATTTTAGGACAACTAATCCATCTCGTGGCTAATAAAGCTATAGTGCGGAGTTACTTAAACGAAGACGATTGATTTCAAAGTCATCTGCTAAATCTACGAAAAATTTTTCGCTGATTACAAGCTTTGTACTGTGTTATTCCCGTGAATAATTTCATCTTTCTCGATCGATTCGATCGTTGTCCTTTTCATTTTCGCTCTCGATCCATCTCGGAAGCTCGAAAAAATTAATCGTCACAGCCTCGAATTGGAACACGAGACTGGAATGGAAATTTTAATGGAAGTGCCAAATCGTCGCTCTAGTTTTTAATCGTTCTAATTCCGTTATTATATACGAAATGAAAATTAATCTTAATAAATCTACGAATATATAATCTAGATATAAATTATGAAGTTATTAGAATTCTTTATATATAATTTTTATAATTATATGATTGCAAAGAATAAAAACAATGATAATTTTAAAAATAATATTTTTAAAACAATTTCAATCAGTTTTTTTTTTCTAATCCATTTCACTTTTTAAGAACACGATTAATAAGATTATCAAAATAAATAGAGTGAATATTCTAGATATTAAATTTTTGTTGATAAATTGGTTTTACTTGTATCAATATGGACGTAAGATTAATTAAATATTTTTCTAAAAATAGAATTAGAACACTATCAAAAGCTAGAACGACGAAGTGTCTTATCTGTACTCTAGATTTTCTTGTAGAATATCATTCTCCACGCGCAACAAACATTTTCTTTTATATACCTACCATTTCTTTCCCTCTTATAAATAATTTTCAGAGTACTGTTCAGGTTTTTTTTTTTTTAGTAATCTTCGTGGGTAAAAGGGATATCAAAAAATGGGAAGCGCCTTAAACAGCGCTACGATAGATGCGCTACAAAAGCTGAGCTATGACTGGATGTAGAAGACACATGTGTTCGGCGCCACGTATCGGAAGACGGTTCACGCTGAAGTGACGAACCATTTCCGGTATACTGTCGAACGGTTTGCTAAATTGACCCAGGATGTACGCGTTCAACTCTTCATTTTTTTGGATACGCATGTGCATGAAACCGCGAGCACTCCTGAAAATGAAAATATCTCTTTAAATATTTATGCTCGATTTTTCTAAACAATTTAAATTTTTCGTCTATATTCAGTTTAAAATTTGTTGGATTTTGTTAATGAAAAAAAGAAAAGAATAGAACAGATACATACATATTTCGAATAATTTTTAAAGTGTATACTATGCAAAGAATTTCTCAATTATTTAATTTAATTCGCGTTAAGATAAAATTACATAAGAAAAAAGAATCATCAATTTAAATATTCACTTACTTTAACGATAAAGAATAATCTTGTTTGGTCGATTCGCTGTTCCTCACCAAATAACTTCCTTCTCTCAGAAGTCGTAGGACAGCTTCCGCCTCGATCCTCGTGATGGATCCGTGATACCACCTGCGAGAAGAGAGAACAAACAAAAAAAAAAACATTCTTGATTACCCAATCAACCAACGATATTTCTCAACGAAAAAAAATCTCTTCGTAAATTTTTCAACACAAGAATCCTGCATCCTAAAAAAAAAACTAACGATTACATCACTACGAATAACATCTCCACACAGAATTAACTATAATAAAAATTCTCAACAAAGGAAAAATCTCTTCTTAAAATTTTATTCGTATTTAACAAAATCTTTGCCCGGAAGGATTTGCGAAAAAAAGGCACAGTGCAAAAATTATGCGCGAGACAAGGACGCACCCTTGTCTCTCCAGGGGAAGGCCCACGTCGACCAGATCAGCGGATCCGCGGGCGGTGTTAATCTCGAGTGGCAATCCAAGGCTGAGACCTCCGGGTTTTTTAGGTGGAAGTTGACCGCTGTTTCCACCGTTGCTAGTCCCGTTCTCAGCGTCCAGATTCAGTGTCATCTTCGGACGCGCCAGTCCGCCGCCTGAAATGAGTCACGCGACAGTTAGACGCCGTGAAATTCCCCGGGGTAAACATCGATTATACGCGACGCGGTAGACGGAGGAAACCTCCCTGCTCGCAGATTTTATGGCATCCCTCCGCGTAATTGGAACAAATCGAACCTCGGGTCTCGCGAAGATTCACGACGACAGGAAGTAAATTCCCCGATCGATACGCTATAATGACTATACGCTTGTTGTTGTGTACAATCGGTTGAAGTGTGGAATGATTATGAGAGAGTGGAATCGTTTCGAGGAAGATTTCGAGAAAGGTTTTTTTATTTGCGGCAAAGGAGATGGATAGCTTTATGATGATAGACGAGTGTATTGCGAGTTTTTGGATAAATAATTGATGATAGAATTTTATTGTTTTGGACTTATAACAATGTAAATATATTTTTTCTTTATCGTGGGACAGTAGAATTTAATTTTGAAATTGAATTTTTCTACATTTACAAATACTTGTTAATCTAATTATCTGAAGTTTTATTATTTAAACTAGATAATTGCCACTCCATTCGAACGTTTTCATAATGTAACATAATTTAAAATATATATTTATCTTTAATATAAAATAAATAATGAATTAATCCATTAAGCAATATTAGGCAAATATAATGTTTGCAAAATTATTTTTAAATTTGTACATTAATGAGCGTTTTAAAAGAAATGTTTCGTGAAGAGAAACAATATTAATCGTATATATATATATATATATAATGTAATAATTTTACATTATTTTACTACAAGATACAAGATAAAATCTTACAATCTAATCGCAAAAATATACTAAAAGCACAAAATATAAGAATAATTTATCTACTTCTCCTTTAAAGGAATAAATAAATTTAAGGAAAAAATGATTGAATTAATAATTTCCAAAAGGTACATTATTAATCAAGTTTTATTTTTGAATGGACGCTCGAATAGATTCTCGACAGGACGTAACCGTGTCATCAATAAACCTCTCAAGAGCGAAGACTCGATAATCTCCAGCAAGAAATACTTTCTTCGAAGTGGAACAATCGACCGTGACTTTGGATGCTGCATTGTCGAGGTATGATAATGGAACGTCTGTTCCACGGATAGTGGAATCGTGCGCTTTCACTTGGCGGAAACAATACAATCGAAATTCCTTTCTCGAATTTTTTCCTCCTCCTTCCACGCCCACCTAAGCAGGATTTCCATCGATTGTTGGAAAGTTTTCACCCTGCCACCACTTAAGATTCACGCGCAAATTACGAGCATTGTCTCCCAGTAAACAATGTGGCTCGAGATACAAGAGACAAGATATCTCCACCTTCTTCATCGTGAATACTGGCTACTATTCGATTGAAGTCGTGAGGTATTATTAAAGGCTCCACGACTTCGAAATTAGACGAGGAGAAGAGAAATTGCCATTCCATTGAGGGGGAATGAGCGTGAGAATAAATAGACGTTTATGAAAATGAAATCAAGATATGATTCATTGTGTGTCAGCTTTGTGTTGCTTTAATTATGTTCCATTTACAAAATAGACGGGTAATGTTTTGTATTAAGTATATTTAGAATGTGATCCTTTGATTAAATGTCACGTTGAAAATATTTCGAAATTGTCATATCAACTGCGATAAATAAATTTCGATTATTCTGTCTAAAATGATTATAATAGAAGATATACTAGGAGAGAAATTATTTTTCAAGTTACATCCAACTCATCGATAACAATTACTTGATCAACGAAAAAATAGAAAAAAAAAAAAAAAAGAAAATTCGTATTCTTATCAAAATATAAAAGATTATAGAAAATTTCAAATTCATCATTTCAAAGAAATTAATAATGATATAATAGACATAATTACAAAAATATAATTACAATTTTTTCCGTATTTTCTCCAAAACAATTATCAAATCTTTAACCATCTCAACCAATTCAAAGCTATCGATATAAATTACATTTAATAGAAACATACCTATCCTCCTTCCCCCTCTCCCTCCAATATATTGATTAAGAACGACCAATCCTATCCTCTACAACGACGAAAAACATCCCTTCCCGCTTCATCAAGAATTTATAAATTTCACTAAGTAAATTCTTCCGGGGTTTCCCATCGGGGGTTAGCGTCAATGTTATTACAGTCTCTCTCGTGAAAGTTCGAGAGATGATAATCGAGGGTCCGCATCGTGGGCCAAGAAAGTGAGCGCGCTTGGTAATTTCATTTGTCGGGGCGGGTACAATCTCTTAGCGGTCAGACTTTTCCAAGGTTGGTTGCATGATCCAGGTACGATGGGATTGCTCTGACAGGTGTAACACCGTGTTAACCACGATCGAAGCTAATGCATCGCGACCGTTTCGAACGATCGCTCGGAAAGATATTCTCTATACATTATGGATGAGGGGTGTACGTGGGGGTTTAGAATGTTAACAATATCGTTTGATGTTGCGCAATAAATCTTTTCAGTTTCTCGCATTCTCTTTTCGTCTTACGATTGATTTGTCGTGCGTTAATTAATTGTGGTGCATGAAAATTATATTTGTATCGTTGTTCTTATGAAATAGAAATTTTATTATATGGTTTTGAAAGGATAAAATCATTGAATCTATAAATTTATTTTTCTCAAAAATAATGAATAATAGAAAGGATGTTGATGAAGATTAAAAAATAATTTTTAATAAGTATACAGTCAATTTTAATTTTCTTTTTTCTGTAAGAAATTATTTTCTTTGAAAATAATTCTTACATGTGAGTTTGATTTTCTAATTATGTGTTTCTAAATATACTAAATATAATAAAATTTCTAAATATTAGAATTCACAAAGTTTTTTACATTTTATTTCACGAAATAATTGATTGAAATAAAAAGTAAAAATTCTAATTTTCAGGAAATCTAAATATCAAATCAATTATCTACAAATTTTAAAATTGATACGACTTATTAGATTCCAATAATAATTTGGATAATAGATAAATCTTTAAAGATAAAATTACAAAGAACACCTTACGAAAAGAATGGGGTGGAGGGAGAAAGAAGTATAATAGGATTATTATGACCTCATCTTATCGATTTAGAATCCGTGACATAGAAATGTCTTAATCTTATCTAATCTCTACAATCTTTAAAACGTTAAAGAAGAAATTTCTAAGTTGAATAACTGATTTATAAGATAAAAAATTAAAAGATTAAATATGAATAATATTGATTTGATAATATTACAACGCGAACAACGAGGCGTTTTTCTTCATGTTTTCATCGCCATTGGATCTCTCAGACAATTGGCAGATACAGAATTCGAGAGCAAGGGAGCTCGATTCGATTGAATTATTCACTCGACATAAATCGTTTTCGTACACGCAACAACGAAAGAAACTTTCGAAAGGCCGCATCCACGCGGTCTTCCGGTTCATCTAACACGGCGTGCGTTTCAAGCATAGTTAAACATTAACGAAAAGAAGGCAGCTACCTACTACTCTCCGAGATTGGCCGTATCTCTATTATTAAATTTAATCCGGTTGTTCGGACAACTCGATTTATTTGTACGAATTTCTCGCTCTCTCTACCCTTTTCTGCTATCACATCGGATAGAAGTTTCTGCTCCCTTGTATCCAACACATGTATCGTGAACTGCTATTTTTATAAGTCCATCAGTTATCAATATAATAATTGTATTGTGATATATTTATTAATGCCTCATGATCCATATGGTTCACATATGGATTTATATTTTTAGAATTAAAATTGAGAATTAATAATAATATATTTTTATGTATTTTTCTTCAATTGGGACGTGATTTTAAATGATAAAATTATGTATTCATCGAAGAATATATAATTTTTGGTAATAAAATATTGATGATTTTTGTTAGTAATATTTTATAAATAGTTACTATTTTTTTATTATTTAATATCTTAACGAACAACTCTGTGAACATCGATTGGAAAACTATAAAACGATGAAAGATTTCTCTTTATAGTTAAAATAATGCAGACGAAGGAACTCTATAATTGCGAATGGCCCAATTCCAACAATCCAACCGCAACTAAATTTATCCGCAGTTCGAGTTCAACAATTCGGTCCAAACGACCGAACACGATCAAAAATCCATCTTAACCACAAACACGTGTTCTCCAGAGATTAATGATTATCCTTCTTACACGCTTACACCACAATTTCTTCTTCTTTTCAAGAAATTCTTCTCTTGACACCCGCGTACGCTTATTTTCTCGTTTCCTTCGCAGACTGTTTTAATATCCGTCTCAGACGGAGATACGTCTCAATCAATTTCTTCGCGGTACTCCTCCATCCTCCAGGAGGCACTCCCTCGGGAAATGCGAGGAGAGCCGCGAGTGCGTGAGCTAAGAATACGCCCTCGGTATGCGAATAAGTGTCTTCGTTATTTGTACGTGGAGAACGTGTCACGATATAGAACGAGAGAAATTTTGGAAATTTGTTGTATCGCTGCGAAAATTTTTGGATAAAACGAAGAAAATTGAAAAGTTTTTCCACAAATGTTTTAATGAAATAATTTATCTAGAAATATAAAGAGATGATAGTATTTGACAATGGAGAATTGCTGTGGATGAGTAAGAAGATGAGATGAGTTTAATAAAAGGTTATAATCGAGTCATAATGATTCACGAAGATTAATTTTGTATTTTTAAGAAAATTTTATGTGAATATGTAGACGTGTTTTCATTCAAATCAGAATTTTCGGATTGGATAACTGTTGTTACATTATTTCATTTGTGTAATATTTTTTCTTATCTTTATCTACTCTTAAAAAAAAATACGAGATTTTTAATTACAATAACGTAGAGAAATATTCGTACATTAATAAAAAGGCCATTGTTAAAAACCATACAGCTATATATAATTTATTCACAATAACGTATAATTTTGCAATAAAATTTTATATCATTCTCTTCTAATGAGGTAATAATATCAACGAAATTACAAAAATTTACGAAACATTCTTCCGCAATAAAATATTCTTTAAATGAAATT